AAGAAACAGAAGCAAAATAAAGTTGTATTACGAAAGTCAGCTTTCCCCGTTCAATTTCGAATTTCTTTAACAAGAGCTACGTAACATCTGCAAGTTCCTTCATCGTCAAGATTCCCATTGTTTTTCGAATCAATAGCCCGTTCTTACGCAAGCAGCGACGAGCCAAGTAAGCAGAAACAAGGGGAACAGCATTGTTCGAAGCAACGGCTACAGCAACGGCAGCGGTATCGTCTCTGGTTTGACTATAGAGTGTTCCAAACGCGTTCCCTTCCGGTTGACCAATTTCGTCATGCTCTTGAAGGCCAGAGATCGTACTCGTGGCAGCACGTGGATTACATAAGTCAGCAATCTCTTTCCACCGAATGCAGGACGCCTAGAAACCAGAGAAATGCAGCGACCTCGCAGCTGAGCACGCGCGTGCATAACCGCCACTTCGTCCGACGACGGACTATTTTGAAACTGTGTGGTTTTTAGAAATATGGGTCACCGTCGACCCACTCGCCCCTCGCCGTCTTACGCTGCACGAACGCACAATTTCTTATTCTACTCCTTCCTCGTTTCTGCTTACACACACGCGAGCTTGCGATTCGATTTTGTCCTATTTTCATGCCCCTCATTCTTGCATTACCAGATTCTTGGGGATCTCTTGCACTTTCCCTCTGTTTTCTCGGACGAGAATTCCTCTTCTCGTTTATTTAGCTTGCTATGTCTGTCATCGGGTTCGATGATTTGTCAGCTGTGGTTTTTTAATTCAATTTTGAGGTTCAAGTTTTGGTTGAAAATTTGGATGACGACAGATAAAAGCACTTGTTAATGATAAATTATAATATTGTAATAATATGAACTTCTCTCTTAATAGTGAGGGATGTGTATGTACTCTTTTGTATTAAAGTATTGTGGAAAATAATTATGAAATAAATTTGAAGAACAATTTTAAAGAGATTAAAATTTTAGTATTGTAATGGATTTGAAATTTTATAGAGATCTTAAAAAGATCATAAAACAGTGTACTGAAAGTATGTATTTTTTTAAACTCTCTATGATTTTCAGTTCTTAATTACAAAATCAGTTATCTAATTCGCCAGTTACGACAAAAACGGGAGACTGTGACATACTCTAATAAATTGGAAGATAAAACTGGAAGAGTAATTATCTGTCTTTAAATAACGTGTATTATATTGTCTGACCATATACGTTAATTTCCACTGTGGCACTCTTAGCACACTAACACTGAATATAAATATGTCAACACAAAAACTAATAAAGATATAGTGATCAGTGAAATGGAACAGTAGAATAGTAAATTAACGAAGTGACGAAGTAACGAAGTAGAAAAGTACTAAAGTGACAAAATAAAATCTGAGGCTAATAAAATAGTAGAATGAGGACGCTATTTACGAGAAACGAAGATTCCTAGAAAGTCATTAGAACGACGGTCTGCACGGAAGTGGAAAATAACATTTCCAACGACAGTCGCAACGTGATTACAAATATGGCGTCCCAGGTTGCTCGACTATTTTTGAAGCAACGTTTCGCCTACGGCTTCCCAGGCGGTTTGCTACTATTTTTCTCCATCTTCCGGTTTATCCACCATTACTTTCCCCTCTGTGTTCTTTCTGTTCCTTGATTGTTGCAGTATCGTTTTAATTCTAATCCCGTAGCAGGGTGAATTCCCCGGCATTGTAAGTTGATCTATTTCCGAAGTCTTAGTGTCGCAACGGACTTAATATGTTACGTATCTAGTACGGACCACCTGATTCCAAATTCGAGAGATTATCTTGTTGCACACACGGAAACGGTGGATCTGGACCAAATGATGCACGGATAAATTTAGCGGATTAGTCGCATTAGCCCGGATTGTTGACCCTTAAGACGCTCATTCGTACGTTGAACCCATTCCATGGAACTTCTGAATGAGAAAAACTTGATGAACCCACCTCATAACACGAATTAAAAGATTCACAGAATTGTTAGTCCTAATTTACCGCACAATTATCAAGATAGTTTAGGTAGACCTAAACCTAGATACCTTCTCACGGTTTATCAATTTTGAACTTCCTTTTCGCGTTAACCAATGTAGGTTTTTATGAACCACTTCCAGGCGGATTCGCATATTTTACAACTTGTTATCACACATCTTAACTCTTTTGATCCGATGTTTCTCACGGTGAATAGAAATTGTGTGCTCTAATTTGTACGGTATGCTTAGTGTATGCAATATTTTTTGATAAGCAATAATTATATTTGTAAGCTTGAAGCAATATGGTCAATTCTTAGTGGACATTGAAGATGAATGTTTATGCTACATTTGTTATTTTCAAAACTTGCTGCAAAATGTAATTAATACTTATTGAAAATGACTATTGTTTCTTAGAACGATTTTAGAGAAAATATTTCAAAGTCAAATAAAGTCCTGTGTTAGTTCAAGTCGAACACTAACAAAATTTCAATACTTCTCACCTAACTTTCGACTAAAATTTTCAATCAAACTTCCTCACAAAATAAATCCAAACTGAAGAAATGTCATCATCCGTAACATCTCGCGAAAAAGTATAGTTCACAAGGACCAGAATAATAAAATTGTATCCTGATCAGAGTTCGTCAATTAGAGCCGAACTTTGACTGGGTTTAATTAAAAGCGGCAATCGAAAGCTTTACTTATTGCGAACCGGTAACAAAGGAAACTGCTTCACCACGGAACTCGAAACTCGTCGGTCGTGTTTTAGTTTCGCCGGAAACTTCTCGAAATTGTTGCTTATCCGTGGCACACTCGGTCTCGGATAATCCTGCCCGGGTATCAATGCCTCGGAACCGTGAATTTCCAATTTTCCCTGACAATTCCCTGCGACCTGTTGTATCAGAAGTTTTCGTGGAAATCGCGACAGACGCGAGAATTTGCTCGCAAGATCGAAAAATCGGGAACCGTTTAAATCGCCGAACGAATTTTCCGCAACGTTGAATCCTAGGTAGCGAAGTGGCGGTTTAAAATTAGGTAACGGGTCTCGTGTGGTGGTTCCTGTGCTTCGAGCGACATAAAGGTCGTCTCTTTGCACGGAAGCTTGTTTCGCAATGACGCGTCGCTTCAGAAGCGGTTACGAGGAAATCAGCTAATGCTTAAGTGGCAATAATTTCCGCGATGATGCTTTGCACACCGCGGGGAAATGAGAACGAGGGAAGCTTCTAATTTAACTAGACCTGTCAACACAGAATTTTGGTATGCTGTTTTGAATGAACATTGAAGTTGAACATTGATGTTGAACATTAGTTCAATCAAACTTCCTCACAAAATAAATCCAAACTGAAGAAATGTCATCATCCGTAACATCTCGCGAAAAAGTATAGTTCACAAGGACCAGAATAATAAAATTGTATCCTGATCAGAGTTCGTCAATTAGAGCCGAACTTTGACTGGGTTTAATTAAAAGCGGCAATCGAAAGCTTTACTTATTGCGAACCGGTAACAAAGGAAACTGCTTCACCACGGAACTCGAAACTCGTCGGTCGTGTTTTAGTTTCGCCGGAAACTTCTCGAAATTGTTGCTTATCCGTGGCACACTCGGTCTCGGATAATCCTGCCCGGGTATCAATGCCTCGGAACCGTGAATTTCCAATTTTCCCTGACAATTCCCTGCGACCTGTTGTATCAGAAGTTTTCGTGGAAATCGCGACAGACGCGAGAATTTGCTCGCAAGATCGAAAAATCGGGAACCGTTTAAATCGCCGAACGAATTTTCCGCAACGTTGAATCCTAGGTAGCGAAGTGGCGGTTTAAAATTAGGTAACGGGTCTCGTGTGGTGGTTCCTGTGCTTCGAGCGACATAAAGGTCGTCTCTTTGCACGGAAGCTTGTTTCGCAATGACGCGTCGCTTCAGAAGCGGTTACGAGGAAATCAGCTAATGCTTAAGTGGCAATAATTTCCGCGATGATGCTTTGCACACCGCGGGGAAATGAGAACGAGGGAAGCTTCTAATTTAACTAGACCTGTCAACACAGAATTTTGGTATGCTGTTTTGAATGAACATTGAAGTTGAACATTGATGTTGAACATTAGAGTTGAACATTGAAGTTGAACATTGAAGTTGAACATTGAAGTTGAACATTGAAGTTGAACATTGAAGTTGAACATTGAAGTTGAACATTGAAGTTGAACATTGAAGTTGAACATTGAAGTTGAACATTGAAGTTGAACATTGAAGTTGAACATTGAAGTTGAACATTGAAGTTGAACATTGAAGTTGAACATTGAAGTTGAACATTGAAGTTGAACATTGAAGTTGAACATTGAAGTTGAACATTGAAGTTGAACATTGAAGTTGAACATTGAAGTTGAACATTGAAGTTGAACATTGAAGTTGAACATTGAAGTTGAACATTGAAGTTGAACATTGAAGTTGAACATTGAAGTTGAACATTGAAGTTGAACATTGAAGTTGAACATTGAAGTTGAACATTGAAGTTGAACATTGAAGTTGAACATTGAAGTTGAACATTGAAGTTGAACATTGAAGTTGAACATTGAAGTTGAACATTGAAGTTGAACATTGAGATTGAACATTGATGTTAAACATTGAAGTTGAACACTGATCTTGAACATTGAGATTGAACATTGATGTTACACATTGAAGTTGAACATTGATGTTAAACATTAGAGTTGAACTTTGATGTTGAACATTGAAGTTGAAGTTGAATATATTAGAGTTGAACTTGAATATTGAAGTTGCATATATTAAAATTGAATTTGAAGATTGAAGTTGAATATATTAAAGTTGGACTTGAACATTGAAATTTAATATATTGAAGCTGAACTTGAACATTAAAGTTAAACATGAAGATTGAAGTTGAATATATTAAAGTTGAACGTGAACATTGAAATTGAATATATTGAAGCTGAACTTGAACATTAAAGTTGAATATATTGAAGTTGAATAAATGAACGTTGAACAAGTAAAAAATAATTTTATTCAAGTTGGTATATAATTCTGTTGCTATTTATGTTACAGCTCGATGACACGGCGCTCCAGTTATACAAAGACGGCGATTATGGTGCCTACTTGGACCTCGAAGCCTCCATCTCTGAGCAGCAGGAAGAGTTCGAGGGCTTCCAGACAAAGTGAGTCTTATAAAATGATCTTCCGTCATTGATAATACCCGTCATAATTTGAAGCGTGACGTAAACATCGTTATTCGGTGAATGATCGTTCTTGAATCGTGAAGAGTGTTGCGCCATAATGAGCGCGTTATGTCACTACTTAACGCGTTCGCTTTTAAGGTCATCGAAGAACTAATAATAGCAATTTCTATCGGATATAAAAATAGAAATCTCTTTTCAATTTTAAATACAAATTAAATTTGAATATCGATATTTCTTTATTTTTGCATTTATAATGTAATATTTTTATATTTTCAAATTTGATTTAGTAAATAGTAAGACTTGCTAATTTAATATGGCATGTAATAACTTCAACTTAAAGAACTAAAGAAAATGCAAAATCGAATAATTGTTATTTTTACTTCTTATTAAGTGAAAAGTCATAGTATCCTGAATGATTATACTTTCAACATTCTACAACCATATGTGATCGTTTTCAGTATGCCATCTTACCTCAAGTATTAATATGTCTGACTCTAACACAAACGTCTGACCATAAATGTCTCTTTCCACTGAAGCAGTGTTAAATGTAAACCTGTTCAACATCGTTGCACTACTTAATCACGATGTTCCAAAAATGCAATAAACGCATAACGAATAATTAGCTGCAATTAGCTGAAAGAGAATATTTAATTTATTACACTAGTCATCAAGGGCCAAGAGACTCGCCCTTGTACCTTTGATCCCAAGGGATTCGACGCACTTTATCTGTCCCATGTTGGGACAACTGAATTGTACAGGGTACTGTTTCTAAGATATATGACCGAACTTTAGGGGAGTGTTTCTAAGTGAGTGTAAGGATGAAAAGGTAGCACGTAAACGTGAGTTGAGTTAGGGTCTCTTGGAGTTATATATTAAACTTCATTTGTCTTCTTCGGAAGAGTAATTTCGTGGAGAGGTAGGGAATGTTAAATAATTGAAATTAGTATCAGTGAAATAGAAATAGCTGGTGGTTTTATTCGATGATTATAATTGATTTCATCAATATTTAGTTTCATTGCGCTATTCAGTATGTTACACTAGTATTTTATTAAATATAAGTGAACTTCATATTCTACTGTTATTAAATTTAAATGATTTACTGTCTGTTTTAACTGCAATTTTGTATTTTTAATTGTACATGTTATCTCACACAGACTTGTAATATTATATAATTATTGTCTAAATTAAAAACGTGGTCATACAGAAAATATTTGTTGTAACTATGTTATTATTTTTGGTAAAAATGTTATTCTTCGCAATATTAAAATTCAGCAAAGAGCTAGGTGATACTCTTTGGACCTAAACCTTTTTCAAGAAACACGAACGATACTCTTACATATTATTCAAGATAAATATCTAGAATTATTAAAAGCTTCACAATTAGCTGGCTTGGTATCATTAAAAATAAAATTGTACAAAAACAAATTTCATTTATCATTATCAATCTGTTTCCAAAATGACCTTCCAGTTAGACCGCGTTAACTGAATCTCCCAGTACAAAGAGAAGATAGAATATCACGAAAACACGATCTTTCATCGTAATATCGAATCAAGCTAGAAATCCATGATTCCCAGTCTGCTCAGACATCGGCAGAAAATCAGAAACTCTTCAGCAACGAGAAAAGAAGCCGATTCTATTTCAAAGTCCGTACATATACACGTTAAAAGTGTATTCTCGTATCGGATTCGCGTTAAGGTTACACCTTGCTGTTCAATATCGAAACTTTGCCGACTATCCGGTTAGCGAAGCGTCGGATTTAGGTTCTCCTCTTTCAAGAATCCTCGGATCAAACGTGTTTTCAACGATTTTCCGTTGGAAGCAACGCCCACCTGTGTCCTCTCACTTACGGCACAATGGTAGCTGCCAAGCTCGGAAAATTCATCGCGTTTATTGTGCTCGATTCCCGCGAGGGATTGACTTCCTACTTCGTTCGAGTCTGTATGAATTACTCATTGGATGAAAATTACATCCTACGAGCTTGTGTTCCAGCTAAGAACATTGTAACAACCTTGTGCAATCGCGAATCCTCTTCGACTTGTATCACGATCCACGCTGTGCAAACGTTGCCTCATAAATTCACGGCATCATTTATCCTTCTTGCTTCGTGTTACAAGAATATGCAATTAGTGATGCTGTGGTCTTGGTACCTTTTAATATTGCCATTTTACTACTATTAAATTATGCTTCTTTTAGGACTAGTTTGGAAATTTTTATATTTTAAATATTATTCATTTAAAAATAAGTGCAATTGTTGCTCAACCCTTATCAGACTAGTTTGATGACTTGAAGAAATGCAAGTACCATTTTATGTTATAACACAAGTTAAAATTAATTCATACAATTTTATGTTGTAGTACAAGTTAAAATAAATTAATACAGTTTTATGTTTTAATACAAGTTAAAATAAATTGATACAATTTTATGTTGTAGTACAAGTTAAAATAAATTAATACAGTTTTATGTTTTAATACAAGTTAAAATAAATCAATACAGTTTTATATTGTACTACAAGTTAAAATAAATTAATACAATTTTATGTCTTAATAAAAGTTAAATAAAAATTCAAAAAGAAGTACCATTTTACGTATTAATATTTAAATCAGACTATTTTATATTTTAATATTTGTATAAATAAAAGAGCTATTCTATGTTCTAATATTCGTATAAATAAAAGTTTTAATATTTGTGTAAGTGCAATTGTGTGTTAAAATATTTGTATAAGAAGCACTTCAATCATAAACAGTAAAACCGCAAGTTGATATTAGTTTTTCGGTAAAAGGATTGGTCAGACACTAAATCGATTTTTATACGACAAACATTTCAAAGAGATTTCTGGACGATCTTCTGAGAAAGGGAGAACAATAACGGAAAGGGATGAAACTGAACAGGAAGAAAACGTGGCTGAGAAGAGTGACGTTTGTTGACGCGGACAAGATAGCCTTAAAATCCATAGAACCATAAAGTAGAGAGTGTTCGCAGCTATCAAAGAACTCCACGAAGTCAAACAAACGTAGATTCTTCGTACACGTCCGAGCGTATTTCTCGGTTTCAATCGAGGAAGAGTTGCAGTATGAGCAAAGAAAACTTTTTTTACGCTTCTAAAAACGCAAAGAAACGCAATTCCTTTATTTACTTTCGTCTTTCTTCCTACGGCAATTCTAGTGGTTGGAAACCACAACCACTTCTCGAGTACAAACACGTAAACTTCGAGAAATAAGCTGAAGAATTTCGAGATCGATCCGACTTCTTCGATTTCACTTCGAATTAAAGTTTTACGGGAATAGATGGTTCGGATCTGGAAATTGCTTTGGAAGTCGTACGAAAAAATTTCGTTTAACTTCTTCTATTTTTAATACTGTTAACCTCTTCGTGTAACGTACATCATTGTTAAAATATAACAAAAATAAATAATATTTGCCATATAACTCAGATTTGATTTTAATACCAGTTACAGTTTGCACAATTAAATTTAAGGTATTTCTAATATTTCAAGTTTTTTTAGTTAATTTAGTATTGCAACAGTGATTGGTTAGGTATGACTGACACAACTGTTGAAGAAATTATAGATTAAGGTTAACCCCTTGCCATACTGTGATGCACTCGTCCAGCTGTGACCAATTTTACTCAAATTTTTAATACGCCATTTGGAGTTCAAGTCTAATAATTTGCATAGTCAATTGTATAATAGCAAATCGATAATTTTGTTTCAATTTTCTTTGTCTCTTTTAATATTGCAGTGATTAGTTAGTTCTGACTGACGCACCTGATAAATGAATCATAGAGTAGATATTAAAGGAACGAGCAAAAATTGGTAACATTATGTATAAATTCATTATAGATTCGCTTTATAGAAAATATTTGAATACCAGGAAAAATAATTTGAAACACCCTGTAGTATCAACGTCTCACGTTTTCTTTTCCAATACATTTCCTTAATCCGACAATTATGGTAATGCCACAAACCCGTTTTCTTAGCAAACCTCGTTTCATTTCGGCCGCAACAATCGCGTTCTTTCGCACCCTTAACACGCCACAAACACCTGCTACACAAACACTTGAAATCGAGCAGAGGTCGCAGGTGCGCAATTGCCGAAATCCGCGTACAAGAAACAGGCAAATATTATCGGAATAAACAGTATGGGGTTGGAAGAATTCCGTGTAGGGGTAGTTCGTCGTTTGACGGAAGGCCAAAAATGGTGGCGGGACTCGAGGGGCGAAGTCGAGGTTAAATAAATGTTTGACCAAAGCTACTCGTTCCAATATTTGAAACGCTGGAATTTTCACGAACCGCAAAACGACGTCATATGTTTACCGCGCTCTTCCCTTTTTCCCATCCTCTTCGGAACCATCTCCGGTTCGCTGTCGCTCGATACAACGACGGGATTTTGTTCTCTTCCTCTTCCCTTTTTTTTTTCCTCCCGTTTCATTTTTATGCCCATGGCCACCTACACGGGTCGGACGAGGCAACGGCATAGTTCGTGACTCGCCGTCGAGCAAATGGAAACGCGTTCCATGGTTTTTCCGAGCGCGACGGCTCCGATATTGGTTCCGTGGTTGAAATTTGTCGTCCGACCGTGATGCGGTGTACACCAGGCTGGACACGTCCATAACCTTCGCCAATTCCCATTTTCTTTCCGCCTTTCTGCGTTCACGGAAACGACCGGGAGGAATTCTACGATTCAACCCCTTCGGTATTCGACCCTGGATGAAATCGCTCCGATCGACGCGTTTTCTGGGAGAAAAGAACGAATGCTTCTCCATGTATCTAACTGCTCGGTAATTCTCTGCGCTCGGGGCTCGGGAGGTGGAGACGTTATCGATCCCTTCAACGTTATCGTTGAAATTGAGTTTCTAATTATATTTGATCTTATTAATTTACTTGTTGATTTCTTATTTATTTATTTACTGACTAATATGAAAAATGGACATTTTTTAATGCAATGTGTTATGCATTATGTGGTGTATACATGTGAGAAGA